TCCAACATTTTTTCCTTTATTCCAAGGAGTGGTATTAGTTTTATGGTCGTTTTTATCAATAGCAATCACGTTTATGAGCTGAAGCTGTGGTTAATGTTGAAAACATTATACAGATACACAAATAAGGGGAGGGAGGGAGCTTTGGTTACCAGACACATACAAACCTCCTCTAATACTTACCGAATCGTCCTTCAGCGTTACCTCTGTGCCAGTTTGCACTATTTTATGAGTAATTTTTTCTTCATAGACACGTTAAATTGCACAATTCTCTGAACTCCGTACTAAAAGCATTATCAGTACTTAGTGTTTTGTTTCAAACCTTTTTCCTTGTTTTTTTCACCCCTCCTCAATTTGCTCTACAGTTAGACACTTGGCTGGAGGGACACTAATGAGCTGCCTTCTCTTCAAGCCAATAATGCTGGTAGCATCATCCTGTAAATTAAATCATAAAAACTTACAATTGATATTAAGTTACTACATTTTTGATTCACTTTTCCAAAGCTGAGGATATTCACAAGTGATCACAAGGCCCGTTCTCACAGGCAGCGCACAACCAAGATTCAAGTAAGTCTCTTTAGAACAGCATTGGTGTCCTTTTTACACTCCTCCTTCTCCCAAGGAGAAACAACGCGGCAGCAAGAGTCTGAAATACGTCTGTCCTCCTGGTTCCATTCCCTTCCACTTTCTGAGCTCCGTGAGATGGCACACAACTCTTTGGCAATGAGTCACACTGAAGACAGATGTATCTGTGAATCACAAACCCCAGCTGGCAAATCAACACAGAGCTCTATTAGATGCTCGCTTACCAGAACTAAACAGGAAGTCTGACAAAATGAAGACCAGAGCTGTTCTACCTTTCCCCCACATTTACAACAGGAAAACGAACTATCCCACCCTCGCTGCACACTCATCAGAGTCCACAAATGAAGCTCACTCTAGCAGCGTGCGGTTACGGGCATCCCAGTTTCATTCCTCCTTCTAGGTCACAGCAAGGCAGTGCATGAACCACAGTTCAGATACGTAAACTGAAGCGCACAAGCACCTTTCTGTGGAAGTAATCCAAAACGCTACAGAGATAAGCGCTTCCTATCGCTGTTGAGCTTAGATAGCTCAGCTGCCAATGCTTCAGAGCATGCCTTGAACTCGGTTTCCACGGCCCAGACATACATCGGATGTGAAGACCTTCAAACTCCATTTTAAGCTTATAATGGAAGTGAACTGCATTTACATGGCACTATCGGAATGCAAATGAGTTACGCATTTTCTACCGAAAAAAATCATTACATTTCAGCAGATCTATTGATGCATTTATATGGTTTTCAAAAGGTCTCAGATTCCTTCTCTCCAGTATTATCTTGAAAAAAGGGGTAATTAAACCACACATACAAAAAAACCACATGGTATTCAAACAGCAAGAAAGATGAAAACCACAAAGAGAATTTCCAAGTTTAGGTTTAAGTCCTATCCAGAAGCCAGCAAATTAGGCCCAGCTGACCGCAGGGTACCCACACTCGTGCAACCCTTCCTATGATCTAACAAATCAACACCTCTTATAGGTGCTAAACTGTCATCAGTATTTAAGCTCACATATATTACTTTTCATGACTACTGAAGCAGATTAACTATTAAAGCTTTAATTCCTTATTTCTTTAAAACAAACAAAAAAAAACCCCAAAAAGCACAAACACACCTGTCCCCACTTCTTTACATACTAGTAAAATATTTAGAATATTAGAAAAGAACACACAGTTCAACAATTGCTTAGTACCTAACGTTAATATTGCCAATTGCCACATAACTCAGCTAACAAACCTCACTAAATATCAAGTTTACTCCTGGCCACTTAAATAGTTTTTATCACAATGCCACATTTTTTGGAAGCAAACAAAGAAACCCCATTTTCCAATCCATACAAACACATTTCAGCAAAAGCAAAGAGGAATAAAAGGTGATTTTAATGATGCCACTTGTTACAAAAATACTGGCTTATAAAGTTTTTAAATGTGTTAGGAAATGCTGTATAAGTTTCTAGTTTGATAAATTAATTTATACATAAAAGATCCTAGAAAATCCAACCAAATCTAAGCATCACCTGTACCAAACATACAAATAACACTCCAATAAGCCTCAACTGGAAGACAAAAACAAAACGCAAGGGAAATAAATTTTATTTGGAATTATCTACTATACAACCATTGTATCTTACAGTTGTTTAAATGTCCTTCATCCACCTATTTAAAGAAAGCAAAAAAAAGCACGAAGTATCAAATTGTAATTTTTATCCAGTGAAGAACAGCTTAATTCACCTCTGGCTTCAACTAAAGATTTCAGAAAAATGCTGCACAACAGCTTCATAAAATTCATTTACAAGCATCCCACTGTGCCTTTGGCAGACTAAGAGAACTGCAAACAAAAGGGAAATTTGGTCAAATTCAATCCCAACTTTGTCCCTGAGTTTGAGTTTGCTTCTTCATAAATAAAGCAATTAACAACATTCACATTAAGGATCACACAGATGGATTACAAGAAACCAGGACACAGCCTCATAAGTCTGTATTTCCCATCCCTCCTTGCAGCTTCCTGACACAAATTAAACAAAAAATCAAAATTACAAAACGCAGTCCAACCATCACTGAACTGCTTACAGATCAAGCTTAAAAGAGGAATGTATCCTGAATTTGCAAACAATGATTAAGCCACCTTAAATGCCTGATTCATATGAAATTTTATTTTCACTTAAGATCCAAGAGATATTTATAAGCCTTTCCAATATGAGATCAAACTAATTAGTTGAAAAATGTAACTTCTCCTTAAAGCATTTATGTCAAAAAAGATTTATGAGACCACAGTCCACTATTTGAACAGTGAGATTTCACAATCACCCTATTCAAGGCAGTTCTAGCAGCAGAAGTAGAATCACTGTGCAGCTGGGATCGTAAGACTAGACAAGGCAGCAGGACCTCAAGCCCATTTTGTATGAGTTCTTCAGTCTTCAAAGCACTTCAAATGCAGGGCTGTACAGAATTCCTCACTTTAAGAATCAAAATTCACTGTACGATCAAGATATTCCCAGAGTAAGTCTCAAAGTCATGCAGAAAAAGACAGACCCTAAAAATAAACCCTAAATTCAACTGCCATTCCATTTTTGATTTGGGAGGTTTGAGGGTTTGGGGTTTTTTAGCTAGTAACAACTAGGTAAAAGAAATTCATTGACAATTTATAATAAAGAAGTTTCAATCCTCTGCAATGTATGGAGCTGTACTTCGTAATAAATTCCATACATGATACAAAAAAAAAAAAGGCTGCAAGACAACTCAGAAGACGAAATATTAAATGGCAAAAGAACAACTAAATTCACTTAGCAGGACATAATTTAGAGTTCACCTTGATTTCATACCAACTTCAGAAGAATCAGTAAGTCTCTACCACATTCCAGTCAGGCAACAGACCATCAGCTGAGGCAGCGCACCTTTCTCTTCCTCCCATTGTTACGGTTTGACTTGGGATAATTTTTCACTTACCAACTTCTCATATAAACTACCCTGGTGATACTCTCCAAGTGAGAATTACCAATTTAGAAAATGTTTCTAGCAGCACCAAACTGAAGACTGATATCAGAAAGCATTTCGCTCTGTGAGCTATGGTTACCAGGACAAACTCCACAATGCTATTACAGATCAGTAATTTTTTTAGCAGTCTGAGGATTTGAGGAATTGCTTCATCATGAAACTAAAAGCTTTTAACCGTACATGTCTGAGCTCACATTCTTCATCATTTGACTTTTTTTGGTCCACCCAAATACCACAAAGGGAACACCGATCATAATAAACTCAACACTTGTACATTCTGAAACTGCCAAATTCTGATCTTAGACCAGCAATAAAATACAACATTAGCTAACTTAAAACAGCAGCCTAACATCTAATTTTACAGCTTCTCAATGTCCAAATTTTCAATTAAAAAAAAAAATCAATAAAAAAATTGAACAAGCAAAGGATAAAGACATGAGGAAAACTGACTACAACAGAACGAAGTATTTTTTTATCTAATGATGACAGTTTTGAAATACATAAATCCTTGAGAGAAGCCTTATTAAACACAGTTAACATTTAATATCACAGACAAGACAAAAATCTTTTTTATTGAGACAAATTTGTTCATGCTAGCATCTAAAACCTTAGATAATAACAAGAAACAATGGAGTGAATGTAAAAAGCTTTATGATTAACCTTCTGGAACCTCAGCATCAGTGTAACCATACTTAACACCCTCTGCTCAAAAGCCTTTTTCTCATAGCTAAAGCTTCAGAGTATTTTCGACAAGTTAATCGTTACCTTCATAAATGATATGCTGAATGAAATAACCTTACAGAGCTAGCATGGACACACGCTGCGTATGCCATTAATTTACTTGTAGATGTCAGCACCTCCTGCTCACTGCTTTACACTTCCAAACACTGACAACTCAATTCTCTGCACTGCATTATGTTCTGCTTCACTATACTGCTACTGGTCTTTGCTCCAGTGTTCCCTTCGGCTTTTGTTTTGTGGGCTTGGGGCTTTTTGGTTGTTTTTTGTTTGTCAGACCATTTCTTTTCTACTCAGTTTAGCAGATCACCATGCCACATATAAGGACATTCTTAATTACACCTGAAGATGTAAGCCACATGATGCCTTCATACATGTAGAGACCAAGAGCTCTCTCCACGGAGTCTGCCAACTAGATTACGTCAGAAGGGTCTATCCTAGATCTTCATTCATTACCAAAGAGGCTGTCTGAAGAAAAACTCAGAATAGAATGATGTATAATGAAAAAATTACTTTGCTCTCTTTCACTGTACGGATCAGTTTAGAAGATAAAAATAATATTCATTTGGCTATCGTTTACACTGCCACTCGGGTACCAACACTTCCAATAAACAGGCATGGAAACCTTTTCCCGTGGAGACCTTACACAAAAAATACAGCCCTTTACTGCAAGCATGTACAAGAACTGTTTTTCATGAACATTTCATGTTCCCTTCTTCATATACCGGGAGAGGAACTGGCTTCTGACAAAGTGGATCAGCTTGGTCTCTGTGCAGAACATAGTAACGACGGTTGCTGCAAAGCACAGAGCCCCCACGCTGACGTGAACCAGCCTTGCCATCCAACCCTTATCACAGCAGAAGAACACCTACAACAAAGGAAACAAGCAATTGCAGGAAAACTCGTCAGCACAAAGCAGATTTACTGTCTCCATAAAAGATAAGGTCCAACACCACCCAGCTGAGCGCAGTTTTGCCACACACATTGATCCTACAATAAATCAGCTTCAGTGGTCACAACACTTGCTTTCCTAAGAAAATTCTGTCAGCAAAAAGACAATTCAGAAGACACCTGGTAAGTCTGGAAGTTCTTGTTATCTGGCATGCAGAAATATGTTATTCGAGATATCACAGAAGTCTGCTAGTTTGCAGCAACTTTATTAGGCTATTTTCTAAAAAGCCTCCACTTGAAATCTCTCGTTTCAAAATACAAAGCTCTCCTTTCTAAGGCATAAGGGATTTTCAATCTGTCCAATTTTTGCACATTAAAATGCTATGCCATCTCCATAGAAATTAGTCCACACAATTACCACACTGTACTCTGAACAAATGTTATAAATGTGGTCTTGGCAATGTTTGTTTCTGTTCTTGTTTTGGTTGTTTTTCATCTGTCACTTTTTTATTACAGAATTTTTAGTAACAGTTTCTTTGTTGCTACTGCAAAATTTTAATTATTATTAACTAAGGACATGGATGTATCCAAATACAGCAGAAATGTGTTAAATTTTATTTGAATTGTCAGATACACCTTCTATGGGTGGCCAAGATAACTTTGTATCAAAGATGTCTCTTAATATTGTATCTTGCCTTGCCCATAAAGCCAGCTTTCCAGCCCATCCTCATAGGTCTTATTGTGCTAATGGTACTTCTCTGCTTTTGGACACAAAAGTCATTTGACACCAACTTTCACGGTGAAAACTAAATCTGAGAAAGATGCTTACCTCTGAGAAACCAGTGACTACTCCACTTATGATATAAACAAGTACCAAAAGTGGTGAGGGAAGCAAGCCTGCCAAAGGTCTGTAAGTGCTGTCTCTGAAGTAATCATAGATATAATGGATGCTGTGAGCTATTCGAATGCCCATGTTGAAGCAGTTGGCAAGGATAAAGCCTATACTGCCATGCCACTGGGTCAAGAAATAGGAGATGCACAGGAATGTGAAGGACAGGGCCAGCATAACAAAATTGTACCTAGGAAAAAAAAAGCAACAACAATGTATACAGTTACAGTATTATTCTTTGAATAAATAACATTTTTTTAAAACTAGAAACAAAAATTCTCTTACCATCTTCTAATGGCAGATAATAAACTTGAGAATCAAGGTTTTAAAAAAAAATCATCTAAATAATGGAAAATACATCAAACCAAGAACTACATTATGTGAAGGAAATCCTATTTTAATAATCAGCTGTATACTCATTTCAGAAAGTCAGATTTAGTAACAATGATTAGTAATGTAAAAACTTGTGATTTTTTTTTCTCCTTTATTTTAGGTATGTATTGTAGAAAAATACTGCTCAACAAGAAGATGATGCTTTATTTAGTTTCTGTTCCAAGTAGTGGCTTTGAAAACAAGCTCACACTTGAAGTTCATGAAAACAGCCCCTGCAAAGTCTAAAAGGTAATACTTTGTGGAAAACAGACCCCATGGAAATTCATTTGGAAAAGCCCTGAGAGAGACAGTGGCTACATAAGCAAAAAAAGCTTGACTGTAGCACTGGAAGGCAACCAAGCTTCAAAATCCGTAACACAGAATCAAGAAATAATCCAGACTAGCAGGGATGTCTGGAAGTCATCTATTCCAACCTCCTACTTAAAGTACATAAACCGGTGAATTCACGCTCCAATTTAAATCGTTCAGAAGCATACCAGATATACAGTAACTGCACATGAAAAAATCTAACAGTTGCAAAATTTTCATGTGTTTTAAGTAATAGCCTGTCTTAAGAACTGTAGTTTCAAGTGCACATGTGCAGAAAACAAGACCTCATACTTAAATTACTTTTCCAGACGGTGATGTACCAAAAGCTAATTCAGCAATTATTTTATTTCTTAGTTTCTGATTTTATTATCCAAACATTTAAATATTTGCTAAAGCTTCCGCATATACAAACAGCTAAACAAGGAATTGGTTTTCAGTGGGGCAGGATATTTTTATGCTAAATTCAACTGCACCAATCTCTTTATAAATTTATAAATTTTTAAGAATATCAATGCTTATCAACAAATAAAGATGTATAAACCAGAAGTACTGCATGTTTGCTTGCCCATCTGCTGCACCCAGCTCTGGAGACAAGAAACATAGTTCTTAAAGTAACTGTAGAAAGAAATTTGCTCTTTAGAAAGAAAAGCATTTCCATGAACATATCCCTGCAAAACAATTGCCCTCCTTACACACTGAACTACAAGCAAACCACACGCAGATTAATTACAGGAATATTACAGGAATTTCCTACCTGTCTACCTCTTCTTTGCACATCAAAGCAAACGTAAAACATTCTGTCACTCCATTGATAGCAAGAAACAGGACGTATAAAGAGTAACATCGGAGGAGATCTGGACCTAAAAAACACATCAGAATTATAAGCAGATTATTATTTCTTTTATAAAACTCTCTTGTTTTTACACTTTGATACTAAGAGATAAAAGTTGTAAGAAAGAATTTATAACAGCTGCAGTTTCTCTTTTTTAAAGAATAGCTTCTCTGCCAGCTCTGTAAATCTTTACCTGTTCCAGAACTGAGCATTGAGCCTCCATAAACATCCAGAGCCAGCTGAGAATATGCGTAGCCAAAAACCGTGATGGTAAGGCCAATCAGAAGCACAAGTTTCAACAGCAATTCTAACACATTTGCAGCCATAGCAACATCATCCTGAAAAAGAATGTAGTCAATTACATAAATCAGAATCAACGTTAACAGTTACTTTCACACAGAAAAGCTACTTGACAGGGAAAAAAAATCAGTCTGCACAGCATAAAAAGGTGTGAAACTTATCCTTTGTTACCGAATTATCCATACATGTGGTTGTGACTTCTAACAACTTTTATGTATTTATTATTCCATTCTATGTTTCACTCATTACAAATTCTATACAAACATTAGCCATGGATGTTCAAGAAAATGTGCCAATAGCGCTTGCACCTGTTTATAACAGTTAGAAAACGGCAAACAGCAGCACATGTGGCCAAGGCCACAGTCCGAGTCAGTGGAGGGTCACTTACTGCTGCATGGGACTGCAGGATTCGCCAGACCAGAACAAGCAGTTCCACTTGTTTTACTACCTCACTGCAGCAAGCATTCCTGTAATTCTTGTAATGTAATGTAATTTCACTAGATACCGTGAAAACTCATAACCATTTTGCCAGTTATATGTATATATCAGATACATGACAGGTAAAATATACATACATGTACACCCATCTTAGCCTGACAGTGACCTGAAGCACAGAGTTCGTTTAACTGGGTGCTACGGCGCAAGTAGCAGGACTACTGCAAAAAACTGCTGTAGGATCAGACAAAAGCCCAGGCTGATCTTCGTGATTAAGAATTTCTTACCTAAAGCATGCACGCATATTACTCTGCAGAACAAAGCTCTTGTTTGTTTAACCATTCACATTCCACATACAATTTAAAAGCTCAAGAAAAATACAATTCTTTTCTTCCCAAAACTGCACTCTTTGGAATCATTACTGCTTAATACTTAACAGCTTCTACTATTTTTAAAGTATGTAAAATATTTTAGACAGCATTTATTTTATAGAAATAGGCAATTATTTAAATCAGTAAAGCATGCTAAATATAAGTTGGAAATACACAGTACCCTAGGCTTTAGATCACACTGTTTGGTGCAGATGACGTTAACTCCAGTTACCAATCAGTATTATGCCACTGAGCATCTTAATTTCTATTCCATTAGCATTTTACCTATTTTCTTTTCTTTTTGGTCTAGCCTCACTCAACATTTTTGTTCTCCACTTCAACTTTTCGATTTTAACAGTCTTTATACTCAAATTCATGAGTCACAATTCTGTGATGCAACTTACCTGTAACAAAAATCAGTCATCTGACATGTTACTAATCCAAAACAGACATACCTGCTTCTGTTCCTTTACATTCTTTCCTCTTTCCAACACTTTAGCAAAAAAGACATAAAAACTCTCCTCAATAGGCAAAAAGATAAACCTGGCCACCAGCGACCCAAGATTATTCACGATATCATATACACCTTTAAAAAAAGAAAAAAAAAAGAACACAATGAAAACGACATAGCGGCAACCTGTAATTATTTTAGACACATTTTAATTTCAAGTCTTTAACAATTACATGAATTCTAGCTTAGTATTTCCATCGAAGAGAAATCCAGTGGAATTTAGGGCAATATTAAAGCAGCGTTCCCTAAAAATTCCGATTGTCACAGCAACCACAGCTCAGACTCGCAAGCCTTCCTCACAGATGACAAAGCTAAAACAAGAGCATTAAAAGCAATTCAAACTATCCAAGAAACTTCTAACAGCGGGCAAACAATTACAGTTTATTTGCATTCCTCATGCTAAAGACCAGGGGTTCTGGCAACTCAGTCATCTGAACAGCTGCTGCCATACATTACACTCTGTAACAACACTAGATTTTTTTACAGAACTAATTCAGTTTTCAGACGCAATGCTATAAACAATGATGGTTCTTGCTGTAGCAACTAACACCGATTTAAAGGAAGACAGAAAAACAGAACTAGAAAAACTGAAGACAACTATAATACATCAGATACTAACAAAGCTTTTTTTTTTAAAAAAAAAGGAGATATGTGGCATCACATATCCAATTGGAAAGTTTTGATTCAAAGAAGAAAAAAAAAATTAAAGTCCAGGATCTTAAATTCTTTTCTCTATCTGTATCAATCATTCTCTGAAATGCATCTCAAAGTCACAAAAGACTTTTGAATCTTCTCAGATTTTCAAGTTAGCTTTAAATACTTCTTAAGTGTTTTCAGAACCATCTGAAGAACAGTGGCTAAGAAAACTGTCTCCATCCCACAGTACCATCACACTTACCCTGATCTCCAAAACTTAACACGTTCAAAAAAGTCATCACATATCGTTCACCTGTAAGTTCAAAATAAAGAACTAAAGACTTTGGAATCTTCTCAGATTTTCAAGTCAGCTTTAAATACTTAAGTGTTTTCAGAACCATCTGAAGAACAGTGGCTAAGAAAACTGTCTCCATCCCACAATACCATCACACTTACCCTGATCTCCAAAATTTAACACGTTCAAAAAAGTCATCACATATCGTTCACCTGTAAGTTCAAAATAAAGAACTTAAGAACAAGTCTCATTACTTGTTTGGGCACTTCCAACATTAAGTATTTGAGAGACAAAATCAAACACGACAGCAGCTAGTCCAGAACACCCCCAAAACTTCATTCACATTGGTAACATCTGCTGGCAGCAATGTCCAAAACCTGTACGTCCACGTGCCCTCCAGACTTCTCAAGCTTTAAGTCATTTCTGTAAACAGTATTCACTAGTCCTTCTCCACAGCAAGTCTCACCTTCGGTCAAAATCTGTTTCAAGAAGGATTGTTTGAAGAAACTCCAAGTCAGCCGTGCTTCCTTCCAGTTAACAAAGGGCTGCAAACAAACAAAACCAAACCAATCAACCCAAGTAATGAACGCGATTGAAACTACAGAGCAGAAGCAGAAAATACAAGCCAGCACAATAGGCTAGCTCTGACTATAGTCATGAGGAAATCTCAGTGTCATTACTACTCCAACTTACTTAAATATTGCTAAATTCAAGACATTTTCCCTTGCTGAAAGTTACTGTTCTTGCAGATAAAGTAACCAAAAAAGCTTTCAACAGAAAATACTACTCCAAGTTAGAGACTGGGGAAAAAAACCCACGCTGTTTAGCATGCCAGTGTAACTTTGACCTTCACTGTAGGTTGTTTGCTGCTCTTCAAACTGTCTCCACAAGTCTTGTACCAAGAACCACCTTTATCTTTACAATGTACTGATCTTTTTCAAAATGTCTTTTTCCTCAATGTGTCTTTTCATTTCTTTCTTGCCACGCTTCCTTTTGAGAGGACATCAGAAAAGGAAATAGAAGTATCTGAGTATCTGCAGGATATCTGATATGCCGTGTAACACCACATTTATTTTGTGGAAAAGTCTAAGTACCAAAAGTCACGGTTCAGTTTTCTTTTGTGTCTCAGATCCAGTGATACCTGGTCACTCCCCAGCACGCTGCAGATGTTTTCTATCTCCATTTAATGGTTTGTATAAAGATACTAAAATATAAGCCAGTAAAACAAGTAGTCAAGTTTTATTATATTCTTCTGACAAGGATGTTAAGGATACAAACCACAGAGAGAATTGTTACGTTTGTTTTTTTTAATCAGCCATACCTTCTACAGTGAAGAGATATCCCCAAAAATCACTTAATTAACTCCACTATCTCAAACTAATTTTCAAAGCTCTCTCAAGAAAAATTTAAAATCAATAAGTGAACTGTGCAACCTACTTCATCTTGCACCAAGTTAGGTAACAGAGCTTTCATTCTAGCAACTGGAAATGACTTCTTTGTTGCTTCAGGTGATTCCAAAAACATCACAAAATAAATTACGTAGCACATTACCAGGACACTGACATATACAAGCTAGAAAGACAGGGAAGGAAAGAACAACCAGTTAAAATAAACTTACAAATGCAGAATTACATGCTTGAGTTTCAAATTCAGCAAAACCAAAATATATTAAGTAGTCTTTACTCCTACCATATTTTACACAAGGTAAACCATTTAACCCCCACCAAAATGAAAGGTTTTTTCCTTTAATCTGTAGGTTATCATAGCCCTTTGCCGACTTTAATGTTCTACTCAGCGTTTTTAGAATTCATTCTTCAGGTGAATGAAGAATTTATAGAAAAAGAACACAGGAAACTTACCTGAGCTAAGGAAAAAATGTAGAGGCCCCACTGAGGATAAAGGACTACTAAAATAACTGTCAAAATGCATTTTGACACTACAGAAAGGCTTTCAGCGATTACCTTTAAGAAAGAGAAAAGAGGCTTATTTTCTGCCAACGAAATCACATCCACGAACTTAAAAATACATGCATTTCACACACAGAATTTATGTTGGAATAGAAGACTTTCAAAGCCAGTGTGACTTTATCCAGAGTTTCTTTCTGCCACGTTGGACACCTCAGATCGTAATTCTGGCACCTGACAATGCCTCCATTGCACTTTCCCAGTCCTTCGTATGGGGCATAAGGGAGCAAGTTTTGCTTGAGACAATTGTGTTCTCAATTGTTGCATTTCACAACTTCATACCAACAATCAACTGAAATGCAAAAGTGTGGAAGCTGGGTGCCTTTCCCTCCAATTAAAACTCATGATTAAGTATTTGATGATTACTAAGATGACAATTTTTAAATAATTCAACTTATTGCTTTAACAGATACAAATCCATAGATATGTTAGAGTTATATCATGCAGTACTACACAGGACACATAGCTCAGCCGTTCAGTTTAGGAATTTTTTCTTTTCAATAACGAAATATAACTCCATCCACATACAGACACTCCATGTGCTTTACTAACCTTAAGTCTCACAAACAAATGAGCTTGTGCTAAAACCCAGAATGGTTCTCCAAGAAGCTCGATAATTGCAGAAAGACCAAAGGCAACTACACCAGCCTGGTAATGAGGAACCACAGAAGGATCAGGTACTTCAAGCAAGTGTAGCCAGACTAAGCCCAAGAAAATAGACCAAAAAACACCAAGAGGGACTCTAAAAAGTTAACATAAAAACAATTAATAGAAATATTACTTAAGCAGAAAAGAAAACCCACAAAATTCAAAGTTTCCTATATCGTCACCAAAACAGTACCCGAGGAATTAATTTATATTGTTACAATACCAAGAATACTTATTTTGTAATGAACATTAAGGCACTCTTCTACAAGACACGGAAAACATTTTTCTGACTTGTCTATCTTCTACTCAGGAACACAACACAAGGTCAACTATCTGCATTTCTTGTTCCCTAGGCCTGAACAATTCTGATCCCACAGGAGCCTGCAGAGTACTGCAAACCCTTCGCTGCTGCAATCTTTGTCTCTGGTTACCAGAGGCTTGGCAGACAGTTTTGCTGGACTTTGCCCTCACAGATAGAAATGCCGCCACCCCAAAGGCTAGTCTCACTCTTCCAAAAAAATCACTGGTTCTCCAGAAAGCGGCCGCAGAGTGAGCAGAAGAAAATGCATGCCTGCCCCTCAGGTACTCCAGTTCACAGTGCTCCACTGGAGCTCAGAGCGACTTCCGTCAGTGACTGCAGCTAAAAAGCCAGGCTCGACACAGGGGTGCTGACATGTATTACCTTCTGTTGACACTGCTTCACCAACACGATGTTTCTGGCAGAGTGCAGAAAGCTCTGTAGCAGGATCTATTGAACCCTCCCATGATCAGATCCCTAAGATATTTGGCACCAAGCTCCTAAGATGTATTTCAGATCCTTCAAGAAAGTTAATCTTCTTTTTGCATTTTTCTCTGAGGAAAAATTTAAAAAGATGCATGTAGTCATTGTTTACTGTTTAATACCCACTTGAAAGGCTGTCAAATAACACAAAACTGATTACAGTACAACAAAGAGATCTAATACGTTTAAAACGTAAGTATTAAACTCATCCTTTCCTTATACCCTGATGCAGATGACCACACACAACCTCCCATTATTCCCAGGCCAGATCTAATCAACGGCTGAGCAGTTCCAGGGCAAGTCAGTAAGGTGACCCAACAGAACGCTGTTTTGTCATGCAGAAGTCTTCCACTGTATTAGGCAAGCAAGCTTACTTCCCACCTAACTGGGGCTGCCCAGGTGCTAGACCTGACAGAGGGGAAACAGCAGAAAGATGCGTCCAGGAACCAGGTGGAGAAACAGGTCATAAAATCCACATGCTCCCTAGCCACAGCTTCACATAGATTTTTAGTTTCTACTATAAACAGCACTGCAGTTTAAAGAAGTTTAAAGAATTAGTCCCACTTACTGCCTGTTGCTTAATTCCCATCCTTTCTTTCACATATCTCCTAGCCCACACAAGCATTTATGTTGCCATGCCTTTAAACTGCATCAGGCCTCGAGACACTGAAAAAATTAGTTTCAAAGAAGGGAAAAAGAAATATCTAACACAGCTTCACAAACGCATATCAAATAAAAATCAAGCCAGACTATGGAGACAGAGGAAGAAAAAATAAAGGACTACATATTTGTGCAACAGGGTTGTCCTTTAACAGCTACAACATAATGAAACTCCAGGCTAAGTGACCGAGTAACACCTTTGCTGAAGCACTTATCCACACACTCCACAAAGAAATCAATAAATGCTAAAGTAACAGTCCTGACCAGCTTCCTGAAACGTGACTGAGGCTAGTAAATGCTCAATGATGAAATAATTACCTCAGTAAACAAATACTTGCTCTCATTTGTGAGCTCTCAGAGAAAACTGAGAAATAAGTTCTAAAGAAGGAAATTTTTAAAGGTATCTTACGTCAGCCACAACAGATTAATTGTTTTGGTCCAGTTTCGCTTTGTACTTCCACTCAAACAAGCTCTGCGAAACGCCTCCCTGGCCAAGAAGACAACTGTTGAATACAGCAGAGTTAGCCTGTAAGAGGTGAGGAAAAAAAGAGAAAATTATTTCTTCCCATCCTACTTCCGAAAATCTCTACGCAGCAGCATCACTGGATTTTTGCACAGGGCTGCATGGCAGGCAGGCAAATCTAGCAGGTACGCAAAGAAACCAGGGTGCTCTGAGGTAGATTATCACCAAGGAAGGAAAATAATTGTTACTATCCAAACAGCAAAAATATTTTAGGCAAATATTTCAACCAAAAAAGCAGTTGAAAACTTTACCGCCCAGCACCAGCCTGCAACACAGAGCTGTGCCTCTGCCCCAGCAAGCTGAGGGTTTAACACGAAACCAGGCCAGCAGCACCGCTGCTCCAGGCCGAAACAGCAAACCCGGAGGAATTCAACGACCTAACACCGGAAAAAAACACTTCAGAGTAACTTAAAGAGCTTCATGCGAGGCGTTATCAGCGACACAGCTTCCAGACCGTAAAGGCCGAGCC